AATGTGAAAATGAAGGTCAAATCCTGGATGGTGCCATGAGGCTCCTGGCTTATTTGAAAATAAGCATCTGGCTGGGATCATCTGACCTCAGTGCTCTTTCCTGCCCAGGCAGGGGGTTGGACTCGATGATCTGCTGAGGTCCCTTCTGACCCTAATATCTGTGAATCTATGAAGTTCCTGGGAGATGACAATGCTTGGTGCCTTGTAAGGTGGGGAAGGATGCTTTATACCCGGGCATGTAGGAAAGTAATGCAAAGAAGATCCTTCTCAAGGAAGTGTTTGATTTGGTGGCTTTGAGTGGAAACCATCAGGCGGGTTTCTTTTGCTTCTGCATGAAACTAGATGATCTTTTCCAATGTGTTTCTCGACTAAGACTTTGGAGGTAAATAAGTGGGGAGAAGGAACACTAAGTTTTGAACCCCCTTCTTGACACAGCTCTGTTTCGGTTTCTCCAAAGGTTTTGTCTCCTCTTTCTGACTCCATTCTGGCAGAGAAGACGGTGACAGTGCTTGATGACAAAGTGACTATCACGGACCTGGGAGTCCAGCTAGTGGCTGGGCTGTCGCTCTTCCTTCAGCCAAGCGCAGCCAGCAGCCGAGCTATCGTTGCTACAGCCATCGCCCAGGAGCTGCTTCATACTCCTAAGCAGGTAATGTGCACTTGGCTCTTCACCGTTGCCGGTGTATTGATGGGTAGATCTGCATCCCGCCATCCTTCAGTTCCAGCCCTGATGCATGCCTGTAGGCCTGTCTCTACACAGGGACCGTGGGGAGTTGGCCTCTCTTGGTCCCCTCTGCAAATTTAAGCTTGACCCTCAATAAAAGGTCCAAAGCCAAACAGTCTCGTTTCTCTCCTGGCTTTTAAAACAATTCCCTTAAATAATGCAATCTTTGCAGCTAGCCCCAGCCTTTATTATACTCTCTCCCAAGCTGTTCATGAGCACCGGTCCCCGCTTGCCACGAGCCTTGCTCTTGTTTTCCATGTCACAGAGCAGGAAGCTCTGAGCATCGCAGTGATTTAACATTTGGAAGCGCTGTAAAGTAGCAGGGGGAGAAAGCTGAGTGCATTCACTTTCCTGCTGGAGCCGCAGCAGACAGCCAGGCTCCTCTCTGCTTTTATTCTCCAGGTTGCCTCATTTGGGTTACTTGTTCAGCTCATTAGGGCACTGGTGTGTTGATCCTGCCTAATTTAAAGCCTGCAAGTTTCCATCTCGGCTGAGGAGGAAGGGCATCAAGGAATGTGTTTCAGGTCACAAGCCCTGTGGGTCAGAGGAATGGCAAACAGCATCCAGCGAAGGCACAGAGCTGCTGTAGAGTAGATGAAAAACAAGGGGGTCAGCGGCAATGGAAATTGTAAAGAGCTGCCCGCTCAATGTCGATGGCTATCATGCCATCCTCAGCTTTCACAGACCCTGTATTTCATCTCACATAAACAGGAATGAGCTCAAGTCAGGTTTTACACCTCATTTTCATGATTATTGCTACCTAATTTTCTGGAACGCAAGAATAATTGCGAGTGTTTTTACAACTTGGTAGTTAGTGGCAGGACGGCATCCCAGCTAGGAGAAGGACATGCTGCCCATCTGCCTAATTTACTTCACCCTCAAAGCACCTCAGTCTTATGCAATTAGCCCATTTATGTCCTTCTTCAGGACTTCCTTTTGCTGTCCTCAACAGATGCAGAGACTGCAGTAGCAAAAGCTAGAAACGAATCTAAAGAGCACGAGGCCGAGTGGCTGACTAGGTCATACGGCTGGTAGAAAATAAAACGGCCTGGGTAACCAGAGGGGATGCACATTTGAGCTAAGTGAGCAGAGACGTTTACCAAAATCGGTTCATGATATACGACAACACGGTGTTTCAGGACCAGCAGTGCACAGTGGGACATGCTGTGTCACGTCCTGACACACTGGCAAATAACGTGTAACCGCAGCCAACACGTTATGAGATAACACTATTTATAACAGTAATATACAGCTGGAAAACTAAAGTGATAATTAGTTCTAAATAAAGTTTTGAAATGAAATGCCAGGTCCCGTCCTGTCCTGTCCCATTCCCAACCCCCTCCTGAGTGTACTTTTGCAATAGGAAATGTTTTAGTCGTGCAATCTTTTTCCTGGAATATTTTGTCACAAGTTGCTGTTATTCTGGGAGCTTTCCATTTATTAAAAGTTGGCTTTTCACAGGGAAAAATGTGCGCCAAAAATTTCTGGCCAGTTGTGTTCATTCCGTTTTTAAAGGAAAAATCGGTGCCCTAAGAGAGGGGCCTGAGCATCCCCCGACTGTAGTGTGCTCTCTTTCAGCCCAGAGCCACAGGCAGCAGCTCTGCACCTGGACAGTCTTGGCTTTGGCCTTCAGGGGATGGAGAGCAGGCACAAAAGGCAATTAGATCCCTAATTCCCTCTATGCCTCTAAAAGATTTCCCCCTGTGGACTGTTTTTTTTTTTCCTAATTAATTTGCACACTCTTCTGCCTGAACCCACTTTGTGTGCTGGAAGTAGGTGATTGGAGCTTGTACTTAAACCTGGAAAGAGGATGCTGCACTTCTCAAGGAGTTTCATCTGGCTTCAAATTGTAGGGTAAAGTGTCCTGGTAATTTAGTTGGCAGGGAAAGCGCAGGGGATCAAATAAGTTGCTTATGTATCAGGAAGAGGCTTTTTTTATGCAAATGAAAATGGAAAAGTGCTTGGGAAAAATATTTCCCAGAAGTGCCTGGTGATACTGGAGTATAGGTTGTAACCATGTTAGTCCAAGGCAGGGACGGGCAATTATTTCAGGCAGAGGACCGCTAACTGAGTTTTGACAAGCCATCGAGGGCCGTATGACAGGCAGCCGGGGGCAGATAAATATTAATTTTCTAAATTTTTTAGGGGCCCCGTGGGCCAGATAGAATGGCCTGGTGGGCCGCATCCAGCCCATGGGCCACATTTTGCCCACCTCTGGTCTCAGGACAGAGGCCTAGATTGATTCATAGATTGATTAATTCATAGATTGATCAAGCTATAGATTCATAGATTGATTGTAAGGCTGAAAGGGACCTTGGAAGATCATTGGGTCCAGCCCCCTGCACCAGGCAGGAAAGACAGCTGGGATCAGGTTCTTTGAGTAAAACTGATACTTTTTGTTAGACCAACTTAAATAGTTGGAACAATTCTTCTTAGCAAGCTTTTGGGTAAAATACCCTTCATCAGGCCAAGGAAGCACGTGCACTTGGTGTGCGCTCTTCCTGGATGGCAGGAATAGTAAAGCAACCAGAGGCTGGGCTGCATGCAAGAAAGGCAGACAGTGAAGATGTAAATTGAGGTGTCAGTGGGTGAGTCAGTGGTGATACTGGATATATCCATTGTGACAGGATCTGATTTTCAGAGGCGTTCTACTTTGTTTAACTAAGACCTACGTTACGGTGTCACTCGTTAAGCAGCCAAAAATTGGGAGACTCCAAGTACTATTCACACGTTATTTGTGTTTTTTTCTCTCTTGCATAAGTTGCTGATGCAAATGTTAATGGTGACATTCAGAGAGAAAAAAACCACCTTGCCATCTTGGATGAGTGGGGCGGGGATTATTTTTCTCAGAAATAATTGATTCCAACTTAACGTTGCCCCTGTGCAAGAAACAGTTACATATCCTTAGTCAAATACTTTCATTGGTTCCATTTTGATGGCTTCTATAGCCAAGTATCAGTGTAGATTAGGTAAAGTCCCTGGGTAAATGCTCTGGCATATCAATACTGTTCCTAATAAATTAAACAGGATAGGCCCATAGTTCATTAGGAAGGCATGACTCCGTATTAGGTATTGTGCTGTAAAAAATCCTTCATTGTCACATGAATGAATTGAGTGTTTCAGCTATGACTTTTTTTTTTAATGAAGATGAGATAAGTTCCTTGAGTGCAATAGCAGCTGTAGTTCTGCAGTGAGTAATGGGAAGAGGTCAAAGTACAAATTCTTAAAAGTTGGCAGTGTACCCAAGTACTCAGTGACCCAGAGAAGGTAAGCAAGGATTTTTTTAATTTGGATATTAGGTGAAAATATCTATTGACTAAATTAATTATCCAATCTGAGCCTGTGGGAGGCGGTATACCCACATCTGTTATTGAAACGGGGCCTTGGAGAACCCAAGCTGGACCACCTTGGACATGCGTTGCTGAAGATTTGGAGGCCGGAGCTATGAATGATCTATTGTTCATGTCCATCTGCTGAGGTAGCCTGCTATCCCATTTGGCCTGGGGTATACTGTTGGCCGGACACGGCCAGTCTCCAAGAGTTCCCCTCTTCCAGTTGTCAAGGAAAGGAGACCCCCAGTATTTAAGCATGTTTTCTCCACTGAGTGGGCATTGAGGACTGATGATTTGGCCTCCTTTGAGGAAGAAGCCTGTAGTTGTGTCAAAATCTACCATTGTGGGATATAGCATTTGGCTTAATAAGTTGAAATGGGAAAATGGATAAAATAAAAGAGAGTGGGTAGAAAAAAAAACATTAGTTAATTGCTGCGCATGGTCGTGTATCTTGCAGCACTACTGGGAAAGTGCAGAAATCTCCTTAGGTAAAATGACTGTCGCCTGTTTTTCATGCTCTGCTGCTGTGAGATGATGTCGGCATGTCCGGTTCCCTTCCTCAGGGCATGCTTCATCTTTCCATTCATGCGCACAGCTTCTGTCAGCGTAAAAGCCAGGAGCCAACCCTGCAAGGTGCTCAGTTTCAGGGCATTCAGATCCCACTGACTTGGGTAGGAGTTGAGAGCAAAGGAGCAAAACAGGTTGGGGTTGCTTACATCCCCCTAAAATACAGGTTGACCTGATGCCATTCTGCTGCACCAGTTGCCCTCTGTCTAGCGTCCTACAGCCGAGGGGGTTCAGTAGAGTCACAAGGTTAAATAACAGCCATTGAGATCCTTATTGTCCACTTATGCTGAGGTCCATCGCACCATTTTGGCAGTGCAGATTACAAGGAGATGATACTTACACCTACTTACAACCCTGTTACACTACAGACCAGCGCAATAAAGCCTTAATCTACATTTCAACACCCTGATCCCATGAAAAAATGACTGAGCAAATAGGATCTGCTGGATACGAGTGTTATTTTTACTTTTTCTCTCTTGGAAGGAGCACGGTGCTTGAAGCGGTTGCCCAGAAATCCCATGATTTGCCGTCGCCTTTGATGACCCAACACAACCAAGGACCATCACAAGCAAACCAGGCACTTTGTGATTTATTTGCAAAGGATCGTTGAATGCATGTTATGTTATGAGATGCAGTCAGCTCTACATACTGGCCTGCATCTACATTTCCCACACTCTACATTTCAAGGCCAGGGGAAACAAATGGGCCATGCAGCCTTCCTTGAAAGCCAAGCAAAAAGGCCTGTTTGTGGTATCTTTACACTGAGGGTCATTCTGAAGTAGCCCGAGCCACATGAGCCTTCGCACTTACATATTATCTGGCAGCTGCTGCACATTGAATTGGTCTGCCCGCTCCTTCTGTTCACAGTTCTAACTCTGCGCAATAGAAGTGAGATGCAGAAGGGTTGGGAATCAGCAGCAGGGATTCGTAGGATTGCTGCTGGCAGACGTGCTATGTTTGCAGCCTGCCATGCTTGCAAACATACTAGGAGAGCTTCTGCCCTTGGGATGGGCTGAGCTGCCGATG